AATAAGAACCGAAATTTTTTTTTTTATATTGGATAAATCAATTTCTTTTATTTTTTCTAAATAAACTAATAATTTTTTTATTATTAAATCTTATTAGTTGAACAATTTATAGTTTAATTATATTTGTTATTTTTGTTTTTTAAAGTTTTTTCTTTAGAATAGAGAAAATTACAATAGATCCTATAATTCTATTAATCATTTTCTCACATAATAAAATTGTATAGAAAAGTCTAGTATTTATAGGGAATAAGTAGGGGATGTCCAAACTCACCTAGCAGAGTTGTTGATAAAGTAGAATACCATAAAATTGAGTTCAAAATAAATTTCAACTCCCAATGAGCTTTCAAAATAGAACTTCAACATGACATAAGATTCAAATAATATTCTAAATTTGAATTTTTCATGATGTGCACTTCAATTAGAATTTTTCAATTACTTCAACAAGGAATTTGGGTCATGATAAATGTGTTTTTACACACTTATCTTACTTTTAAAACATGAAAATTGTTGATTAATATACTGGAATATGGCTTAGTTCCATGTAATTTGGTGAAGATTCAAGAGTGTTAGGAGTCAATTGGATGAAGAAATGAGTCAAATTGATGAAATATAGTCAAAACATTATTACATATCAACTTTCGGGCTGAAAAGTTTTGCACAAGTTTTCAACCTCATATTGAGACCAATTTTTTACATCGAATTGGAAGATGGTATATGAAGTAAATTTGTAGCCCTTTGAATTAGCTTTCGAACGCATCTTGAATCATTTCGATCGGATATCAGGAGAGAAAATTATGACCAAAAAACGCTGTAAAACGAGCGCCCTTGCCTACAAGCGAGGTGCGCGTCTCACACCAAGGCAGCCTCAATCGCTGCCAAAATCCTTAAGGCGTGCGCCCTAGTTTACACTGGGTGTCTGGGTGCGCACCTCAAGCCAAAACTTGACGAAAATTCTGATTTTCTTCTACGACTCAACCACTTATGGTAAATTATTTTGGCACATTTATCAACCATAAAAGACCCTAAAAAAGGTTCCAAAACGCCTTATTCCTCATTATTCATCATCATTTCATCTCTTTTTACTCAAGACACTCATGAAGAACCAAACATCTTGGTGAAGCAAGAGAATAACTCAATTAGATATGGTGATTTCACATCTATTATTTCATATAATTGGTCTTTTCTTGCTGAATAATCTTAGGATTTAAACTTTTCTTTTCATAAAATTATATTGAAATCGGTTTAATAATTACTAGACTTTTCATAGGTTCATTCATGTTTTTTTCATTATTTAATCAAACTATTTATTGAGTTTCAATTTCAATCACTTATTGTTGAGATTAATTTAACTTTTATTAAATCATTTATAAATCCAGTCATCCTTCTTCTAACATTAGATTGAACTAATTATTGAATTTTAATTTCAATTTCACTTTATTGGCGGATTGATTACTGCCTTATGCTTGATGTATATGGTCGATCTTTGATTTTGTTCCAATAAAATTGTACGAATATATTTTAAGTCTAGATTCTAGGATTACATTTGTAAATTAAATTGGTTTTCACGATATATCTTCATATTAGAGTACCGGGATGAAAGTCTCTAAATGTATTATAAAAATGGAATAATTGATGTGAATGATTCAATCCAACTGAAGGAATTCAGGCGCTTCACTGCCTCAAATTATTGATTTTAATTTCCCATTTCAATATTGAATTTCACTACATATTGAAGACGGTAACTCGTTCCTTTTTTGAACCCTTAAGCATTTTCCATCTCCCTGTGGATACAACACTCAAAAATTGCACTATAACTACCGCGTTATTCTTTGGGTGTAATCAGGTCACATCCAAATTCTAACAATCTCACCTTGACACAAATTCCACCAATGAATGAACTGATTTCTTCAATAATAACCAAAAATAATAATTTCTCAAACAAAACACAAAATATTTCACCTCTTCCAATGAATCCAAGCACTACTCTGCAGAATTAACTCAAATTCTAAAAAATCATAATAATTTTATAATTTACCAAAATGGGCTGTAACACAACCACAAAGTAGAATCAATACCAAATGCTTTTACAGAAAGCTCATTGTTAAATTATACACCTTCTACTCCAATAAAAGCATGCTCAACAAAATCAACATCCACATACCATTGGATCCGTCCCTAACAATTGAATACAATGACACCGCAAGTGATGGTGGCAAAACGGCATTATCCATATCTCCTGAACTCCAGTGAACTATATTCTTGAAATTCGACCATTTATGAGCTCCTAGAGGTATTGTACCAAACTGAATGTTGATCATGGTCTTGAACTTGTGCTGATTGACTCTTCTAAATTCTGCACGACCCTACAAAATGTATAACTGGGACCTTTTTTGCCCCTCCATACAACTTAGGCACCCTTACAAACCTTCAAAACTCCACTTCCACCAAAAAACTCATAATCTTTAGAATCATGAATAAACAACGAGTGAGGTTTTTCTTCAAATCTGGAACATGTCGAACCGGACAAGTTTTCTAATTCTCACATCCAAAAACTTCAATCTAACTATGCCAATTTCAACAACCCGACAAGATGCGTTATTTCTTATAACCACGACACCTTTGGAAACAGTTTTATATGTAGCGAATAAGTCCTTATTATGATACATATGAAACACACATGCTGAATTAAGAATCCAATCATCTTCCGGTTTAGACTCAATATTAGAAATAGTTAAAAGTTCCCCATCACTTGCAGTGTTCTTCACGACGTCTGGCGCCTGAAGTATCTAAATATCTACTTGCAACCATCCTTTCTTTATTCTGCAATTTGTAGCAATTCTTCTTTAAGTGCCACTTCTTCTTGCAGTAATTACAAATTTGATTACTGAACTTAGATTTCGATCTGCCACTTCCAGAACTACCATGAACAATCAGGCATTCTCCATCTCTGGCCTCAGAAACAAGATGTTTCATCTTCTCTTTTTAATACAAAGTATCATACACTTCCTCTATGGTGAGAGTATCATGACAACAAAATCATGTCTCTAAATAAAGAAAACGAAGCGGGCAATGAACACAATATGATCAATACCAAATCTTCTTCATCATACTCTACTTCCAAAGTTTCCAAACCAGCGACAATCTCCTTGAATACAGTCAGGTGATCTTACAATGATCCTCCTTCTGATATTCGATGAGAGTATAAACGCTGCTTGATGTTCAACTTGCTTGTCAGACTTTTAGTCATGCGCAATTACTCCAACCTCAACCATAAAGCAGCTGCTGAATTCTTCTTCAAAACGTCCTGAAAAATAGTATATGATAGATGAAGATGAATGTGAAAAACTGTCTTCTTATCATTTCGTAATTTCTCCTCTGCGGTCAAAGTTACGGGCATCTTGTCAATTTCCATCAACACACCATCCAAATCCAATTGTGCTCTAGTATTCCGATCCAAAAGTGGAATGTCATACTTCATGGAAGCCATCACGAATTAAAAAAAATCGAACAAATCAAACATTGCGCTCTTGCGGAACTGCAGAACCTGGGTCTGATACCAATTATTGCAAAACAACCAAGATACCAGAATTACTCTGATATCAATTGTTGTGAAACAAATCACCGGATTGAGATATTGAAGTTATATGACAAATAATAATGAAATATTTGATCAAACAAAGAATAAAAAAGACAAGAATATGTCAGAGAAATTAAGAGATTTTATTGACAAAAGAATAATGGAAAAGAGAAAAAATTATAATGGATCATATAATTCTAGTAATCTATTTTCTCACATTATAAAATTGTATAAAAGAGCTTAGTATTTATAGGGAATAAGTAGGGGATGTTCAAACTCACATAATAGAATTGTTGATGAAGTAGGATACCATAAAATTGAGTTAAAAACAAATTTCAACTCTCAATGGATTTTCAAAATAGAACTTCACCATGATATAGGACTCCAATAATATTCCAAATTTGAATTTTTCAAGACGTGCACATTAATTAGAATTCTTTAATTACTTTTACATGGAATTCGGGTTACGCCCTTATTCTAACCGTTAATGTGATGAGTGACTTTAACGACAACATTCTTATACATAAATCGTAATGTTGCGTGATGCTGCAAAGACAACTATTTTAGGAGAATAATTATTGTGGTTAAGACCAAAATTCAATAGTTCAACAGTATATTTTAATAATGCAAAACAACAATTCATTTTTGTTGAAACCTTCAATACCTTTTTTTTTTGTACTTGGGTTTTTTTAGCCAAGAACTTCCGTGCTTGGGTTTGGTGAGCCAATGTCTACTATGTCAAAACTACTTTTGTTGTTTCAAGTTCTCTATAAGTTATTGTTGACTTGCCAAANTGTATGTATGTGTGTGTGTGTGTGTGTGTGTGTGTGTGTATGTATGTATATGTTTAAATTTTTTTATATTAGCCATGTTCGATTTTTTTTTAATTTCGATCCTGAATCTGCCTTTACATAAAAACCAAACACTTCACAATTGTTTTTTCTCACACGATTACTTTTCAGAAGCCAAAAAAATGGTAATACTTAAATTACAATAGAAAACTATATGAAAACAAAAGAGAGAGAAAAGATGTAAGAAAAAATCAAACACAACAAAAGAAGAATGCTACTCCCAATCCAGAAGAATCTCACTAAGCAGCCAACCTCTAAATCATTTTTAATTACATTAATCACACGACTTCAATTATCTGCAAAAATTCAAACACAACAAAAATGAAAATTGTATTGGTTTCTTCATCAATTAATTTTCTTCACTCTATTCTGGCTTGAAAATCAGACAAGAATATTTGTTTCCAAATAGGCGAAATCCGTCCACTGAAGACTCATCTGCAACAAAAGTTGGAGAAGCACTTGCTACGAATAGAAGGTTGGAGATTTGCTTGCTACATTTCCAACATGTCACATAATTTTCCTCGTGTTCAAATTTGAACATCGATTTTTGTTCAACAATGTATGAGTTGCTGCTATGTGCGTGAGGACTGGCACAGGGCAAGAATGATGGCTGACAATTCCTCCTTCACGTCGTTGCGGACCTTACCTTACACCACAACCATATACACAGTAAAACTAAAACATTCTACACACAGAGCAGCATTCTGTTTATTTATCGAACAAATCAAAGTACAAAGTAAAAAGGCGAAGTGAATCTAACATATACAGTCAGGGACAGGTATGTTTGATTGGGATAACTCGGCTTAAGTTAATATTAAGCATGCATAAAACACACTCACAAGTGTAACGAAGTCTTCTCTGACTCCTGAGACCTAAGAAAGAGATGATAAAATGAAAGCATACAAAATTCTACTAAAATTATTATATACCTATTCATCGGCGTTGGCCTAAACTTCTTCCAGGCAAAACTTAAGTTTTAAGATACTAACTGAAATTTAAGGCAGTTAAGGCAGTTCCCAATAAAAGTTTCTCACCTATCGCAGGTTGAAGAATCCAATAAGGTTCTGAATATGCAATAGATGTATTAGTCCCTAAATACTTCAGACCAGGCTTCATCCCCTCAAAACATGTGCATGTGCAAATGGATGTTCGATTATGCAGTGCGGTAGCAGATATACAGTGTCATTGAATAAAAAATTAACGTACAATCAAAAAGCAAGGACTACAAAATTAGCATGCTTGGAATGGTGTTACAACCTTTACCATCATCATCCATGGCCCAAATGCTGTTGTGGAAGAAGCTGAGATCATCCGAAACTAGATAGATGTATTGTGTCCTTGATTTTGAAAAACTTAGGATGTGTTAGAGCCACATTATTTTGGAAGAATGTATTTTGGAATAATAGATTGATGGGGAATGTGTGGTTGAAAAAGGAGGAAAAGTTATTGATGTGATAGAAAATATTATTTTATTGAAGAATGTGTGGTTGAAAATGAGTAGGAGAATGAAAATTGAAATTTTAATGTAGCTCAAACAAGGGCTTAATTAACTTTCCTGTATGGCATCTGAAATTTTCAATAGGAAGAGATGGCCGAGTGGACTAAACAACAGATTCATTTATAATTTTTGAACACCAGTGTAGATGTCTCTTCTCCCTAGTTCCCAAGACCCTAAAATGTACCGTTTCAGTATTTCTCAGTCAAAAACAGAAAGTTTTTTGTGAGTTATACTGAATGCTGCAGTAATTGAAGATCAATAGATACTGAGGTCTAAACAATCACAGTTCACTAGCATACTCAAAAAAGATGAAGGCAGCCAGTATAAATCAGACTTTTATTTTGCTTACCAATCCAATTGACTGTGCTATAACTAGGACTTCTTGTTAAGCACAGAAAGAAACCAGAGACTACAAAGAGGATACCAATAGGGCACAAAATTAAAAATGTCTCAGAACTAGAGTACATACCAGAATAAAGTACAACAGATTTAGAGCTTGACAAATGCACAGCTTTTCAATCGTGTTGGGATGCATTATGGCTATCTGATTTGGAAGGGATAGAAAGATCACTCTTGAGCATGAAGGAAAGATCATGCATCTGAGAAATCAAAATTGTCACGTCATCATTTGGCTTGGCAGATTTACCAAAAATCTCTTCATCATTTGCAGCATCTTCAGAAAGCCTGCTGGTATCAACTAACCTACAGTTGGATGATACGATGATCAAGGAAATGAGGAGAGAAAAACTGAGAGGAAAAGAACGAAGAGAGAAAAATAAGAAAAAAATGATGAAACTCATGGACAATATTAACTATTTTAATGTCGATATTACCCGCGTGGTTAAGATGAGGTCATTGTTTCCAATCCCCTCAAGGCAGGGACAGATCCCGGGGGCCGGGGGGGGGGGGGGGGGGGGGGGG